ATGCACCAAGTAGAACCACGGAAGAGAAAGCAAGTGTTGTGACAATAGAATTATATGGTTTTGAGATTAATTTTACCCTTTGAGGCATTTACAACTGCGGACTGTTTTATTATATACTGAGAAAGTGAGTGGTATTTCTCAGAAAACTTTCATCTTTTTGATATTGCTTGAGTTTCCAATAACAAAATACAGAGCAACAATGAAAGACTTTAATATGACTTCCTTCTTTCTGAGAAGGGGTTGGTTTGAGTTACCAGCAATATTAGAAGCAAGCTTCAGTTAAAATTCAACAAAAGCCTACAGGAAACCACAGGCTATTTTAATGTGATTATGTAAGTCAGGTGCAGGTAAGGGCAGGATTTTTGTTTTGCTTTTGGTGTGTTTTGTTTTGTTTTTTTAATAATATATTTCAACCAAGGAAGGTGTTTACCTTCAGCTCTCTTGCAAATAAATAGTGCCAAGGTTTTCAAAGCTGGCGAGATGGTGATTGATGTTTATATTCTTAGAAAGATAAAAATGGATCCTCTGTTGGTGTCTTAATTTAAGAAAAAAAAACCTGTACCCTTCTAACAAATAAAATAGGAGAATATCTCTAATGGTTGAGGCTAGTTTCAGTATTCTTCTGTAGTATGGCTTGCAACAATATGTGGGAGGAGGCAATTTGCCATTAATGTAGTAGTATTATTTTTAAAATGTTACTATTTTTAATATTAAATTGAGTTTCTGGAGAGTTTCTGAATGGTTGAGCATATAGCTGTATTTTGAAGCAGGAGTATAGGTGTATATAGTATTTTTTATTTACAAAATTGCTTTTATAAAGTTCTCTTTTAATTCTGTCCTGAATTATGTTCATTTAAAAAGGGAAAGAAAGCAAAGCTAGATCTTTCAAGTGATTTTGAAGTGAGAAATATTTTAGCTTTTATTTTTCTCCCTGCTAACAGCTGTCACTTCTTACGAAGACCTCGGCCTGTTTGCGTTTGGATCAACTGGAAAGGTGAGAATTTATTTTTACCTGTGTATTTTAGTTCTTGGTCTCATGCTTCTAATATACAACTGTTCTTTGCTTAGTGAAGAGATGTAGATGAAATAAGTAATATAATTACTGACGTCGTAGTGTGACTGAAAATCCGTTACGTCTTGAAGCTTTTCGCTACGTTTCAGTTAGTGTGTGGTCTGTGGACACCCAAACTTTAGTTAACTGTAAAATATACATTCCTTAAATGCAAGATTTTGTGCTACTTTCCTGTCAGTGTGTTCATTTTTTAGTGGGATGTACAAGTATTTGCTCACTGGCATTACTGCCAGGTTGGCTCAGCAGTCAGTTTCAGGTTTCTTATGGTCCCATCGTACCGCTGCTCTAAACTGTTTAGAAACAGGTAAGTGATTTACTGTTGGTGTTCGAGCATTTAATAGAGATCCAAGATAAGCCTTTGCCTTTCATGTAGTTTCCACAACAGGAACAAAGAAGAGTATGTTTAATGCATGTTAATTTTTTTTCTTTTGTTTACTGAACTCTACCAGATAAATGTTTCTTACTTGTTGTTTTGTCTCATGATTTAAAAACAAAACAAAACAGCAAAACCCACCAGTAAACTAACCCAGTACTACTAAACCAGTAGTCATCATGTAAGCCATGCCTTTTTGGTAGCGTGTACCCAATCTGTTTTTCCTAATAGACAATGTTGTCCAGTAATACTGGGTGCACAGGAAATATTAGTAGTGAATACTGCACGTTTAATATTAAGAATTCCGTGCTCTATGTTTCAGTTCCATGATACTAAAAGCATATTTTACCACACTGAAGTGTGATTTTAGTGGTTCACTGGAACAACATAAATTTTTTTAAAAACAGACTAGAGTCTAATTTCTTCTGTTTTAATGTAAATGAGAATTAAATCCAAGCTACTATGTGTTTGTAAGACTTCCATTAACATTAAGAAGCAAATATGAGTGTAGCCTGTGAGAATCAATATTTATTGATCAAAGTTAAGATATAATCAACCTCAAGAGATAATAAACCTTGATATTATCAAGGTATGAAATAAAATTCTTTTTCACAGGAGCTCTTCTGTGCACATTAACCAAATGCCGTTAGATGCAAGAAGTCACAGAAATGTAGAGCTTAAGGAGATATTAAAATATAACTTAGTCTTTGCTCTGAAGCACGGGTAACCATACATAAACCATTCTTGGCAGATGTTTGTCTGATCTGTTCTTTAAAAGCTTAAATGAAGATTTCACAACCTCACTGTGTAGTCAGCATCAGTATATATATATATTTTTTTTTTTTATTCTCCCTAATACACTTTTTCATAATATTCAGTTTAAATAACTTGTGCTAAAAAATATCTAGTCTTTTTATTCTCAGTGTGCATGGAGAGCACTGGAATATTTCTAGGTTGGGAAGCTGTTGTTTTGATGAAATAATTAACCGAAGTTCACCAAACTTTCCTGACGAACTAACATTTTCTGGAACACTTACCTTTCTCTCTTGAAGTATCCTTGGTATTTATATGCTTTTCTTAAAACTTATCTGCAAAACGGAACACAGTAACCTGGCTGAGAATTTGACAGTGACAAGAAATGTAATAATTGCCTGCATTTTAGATAGAACATGTCTGGTGCTACATCCCAAAACAAGATCTGCTCTTTCTGTGGGTGCTTCATGCTACTGGTTGAGTTATCAGACTATTTTCTTTAGTGTAATAACTCCTAAGTCATATCTTTGAGATCTCCTTCCTGAATGCATTGCTTTGAACTGATCTCATTGATTTTTAGACTTCTCTAGTTTACCACAACCATTCTGAATTCTGATCCTCTCCCTGAGATCTCCTCACCTTAGTCAGGCACAGGTGGCTTTTTAATTTTTCCCTTTAAAGTAGTACTTACTCTTCCCTCACCCGAGTCATTTGCCAGTGATACAGACAGACCTGACTTGAACTGACATCTTAAGTTGACAGGAAGCTACTGGTTAACTGCTCTTGAAGTAGAGCACTTGTTCAACCTTATGCTGATTTCTTGTCAAACTTATTTTTCTGAGATTTGTGAGAATGGAGTTTTTCTGCTATTGGGAGATTGCTGATTCATCCTTTCCAAAAGCATGAAGTAGTTGTTTCCCTCTATGGCAAATTCCAGAATACCATACTTTTTTTTTTTTTCCCCTTCTCTTTTTAGTTCTCCTGGTGACTTTTGAACTGACTTTGAATTTGTTTAAAATCTGATATGATTTTCAGTCTGATCAATTGAAAGAATGGCAACTCTGCTCTCAGATTTGATTGAAAAGTCCAAATTTTAACTGTGGCTTAGTTTTTTCCAAGTTGAAAATTAATGGTAGTGCTTATGCAGGAAGGTCCTGCTACATCAAGCAGAGCAGTGGGTAAAAAGAAAATCTGTAATCTTCTAGATGATTGTACTATTTTAGACCTGAACTGCAAAGAAAACACTGGGAAAACTTTAGACACTTTTAGGGTTTTTTCAGTTGGAAGTTTATTCTTTGGATTTGGACAAATATTTTAATGGTCTGTGATCATTTCTACTTCCATATTATTCATATCGAACTAATCACAAATGCTAAAGAAAAAAAAAAGTCTATTCAGTTTACAAGTTTAAAAGAATAATGACATTCATGCCAGTTAAAAATATTCAGGTTTTTGGAATGAGGGAGTAAATTGTACAGATCTCTGCTGCCTGATTGTCTTTTCAGAGGTGAATGGTCATTTCCATTTGTACTTACCTGATGTCAGTTAGAATGCACTAACGTGTTTTCAGTGACTTTAAAAAAAGCTCACCTTCTTCAGAACAGGCTTCACTCCACAACTTCTCTTGTTTTGTCATCTCTGAGTGAAAATGCGTTATTTTCAGCGAGGTTTCTTGCTTTTATATTCATTTTAGATTGTGTTGTTTTCCGTGTGTTAAACTCTTCACTGAAGAGAAGATGCCCTTCCTTTCAGTACTAGTTATCGCTTCTACATCTGGTCTGTTTAAGATAATACATGTGTGTTTTATGACTGCTATAGACATACGATTTTAGTTATCCTTACCCTTTCTAAAAGAAATCAATTTTTTTTTTATAGGTCCTTGTTGCAACTACAATAATTATCCAGAATATTGGAGGTAAGAAACTTCAGATGCTCAGTATTAATCGAGTGGAATATAACCTCTATGGTCTCCAAAGCTCCTCAAACACCAAAGGCAATAATTAAATGAAAGTGTTCTTAAAAGACTGGTTAAAAGGGGAAGTTAAAACTTAAAGAAAGCCTCATGTGATCATGCCAAGCAGCAGCGCTGTAGTCGTGGGGTAGATGGGGGCACTTATGGGGGTTGGTTTGTGTGGCTGGTGCTGCATCACAGGATGTGGAGCACGTCCATTTTCACTGGCTTTGCTAATTGGAAGGAGCTGAGGAAGCATAATCGCCTCTCTGCTGTCCTGGACATTTGCATCTGGTAGCTGCATTTTATCATATCATGTGTTTTGACTTTTGCTGTTGGAACTTGCTTTTGCATTTTAGTGATTTGTGTAACAACTGAATGTTTACTTAGCCATGAAGTTTCATATGTTCTTTATTAATGATTGCTTTTTTTTGTTGTTAGTTCAATAACTTTTTTTTTATTTTTAAATTTTTGAGGGGTTGTTTAGTTTGCTGACTTTTATCATGTGGGCTGATTATATTATCATATACTGGGCTGTCCCATTAGATTATGCTTATTTTGTCTTTCTTGATGCATGACAATAAAATAACACTAGCTGTCTTTGTATTAAAGGAATCTCCTAAGCATTTAAACTCTTACTCAGGTGTGTTCACATACTTGACAGTTACTAAGTAGTCATGCCCTTGTAAATTAATTGTCTGAAAGTCAACACTACTTAACAGAAGACTTTTAAATTTTTTTTTTGACCATCAGTGTTTTGGATACTTTCTTTTAGTTGAGGGAATTATGTGAAAGCTCCCTCCTCTCCATCCTCTGCCCCCAAGAAGATACATATGTTCACAAACATTGACAGAAGGAAACAACATTCCAGCCCTGCTGTTTTTTAGTTTAGTCGAGTCCAGACAATTCCATGATTGCTATTTTTTGTCACTATGTAGTGACCTGGAACTAGACCAAGTAACTGCTTTTTAAGATCAAATTGGAATCTTTTCTTATACTAAAAGCTCCAATAATAAAAACTGCCTAAATGAGATGGCTATAAAAACCCAAGCATTCATTTCAGTCAGGAGTGAACATATTAATTCCAAGATTAAGGATTATTTATTCATACAGGTTTCGGAGGATGTTCTGTAGCAATGAACAATTTTTTTAATTTCCTTTCCCTCCAAGTAGTACTAGAGAAGGAAGGGTGCACAGTACAGGTTCTGGAGACTCTGGGATCGTGTGTGAGACTCTGGTCTAAGGAAATATGACTCTCATTTCTTCCTCATAGCAGTTCATAACCTTCTCTGTGTCATTTTTAATAAAATTCAGCTCAGTAACTCTAGAGCCTGAAACTAGTGCACGCTGGATATTATCAGACTGCTTATTCCATCTTCTGCAGTGGACTTCTCTGCCAGTAAGTTGGGCCTGGTTTGCCAACCAGTGGTTTTCCATTTAACTAGTCAAAAGTAGGTTTTTGCAAGTTGAAGCTCTTCTTTCTTATATTTCCAGTGACCTGATTTTGATGAAAGCTTTCACAAGTCTGTTTTGGTGGTTCTGGTTCCAAGGGCAATGTATTTCCTGTAACTGGACAGTAGTAGTTCCTGCATCCTGTACGTTCGCTTGCAAAGATCACGTAGTTTCAAATGCACCGAAAAGAGAAAGCTGACTTTCCTGCTCTGAGTCTGTGTTAGTAACAGCAACACATGCCCCAGTCTGTGAGGAAGGGTGGTATGGGGAAACATGGGTTGCAAATTGGGCCTCCTTGGCACCTTCTCCCCCACAGAAGATGTATTGTGCTGTCGTTGCAAGGAGCTATCACAGCTTCTGTTTAGTATTTAGATTTCTCTTTGAGAACAGAGCTCCCAGCTGTGTTTTTTCTCTCCTTAACGACTGGCTGCCTTTGGCAGAGTCCTGTGATGCTGCAGTCCGAGTAAGCAGAGCGACACTGTGTCAGGAATTGTCTTTGAAGATGACTATACTGCAGGCTAATGGGTTCTTAAAAAATAAAAAATAAATATAAAAGGAGGGATGGAGAGTTCTCTTCACCTCTCACTGAGCCTTGACTCTTGAAGAAATGCATAGAAAGAAAGGAAACTGTCTTGTCCTTTTGCAGATTTTAAATGGGAGTGGTAAAACTGTGGAGCATAGTTTGTCCTGAATGGGAGCTGTGCTGGAATTAAAGTGTAAAACTTACCCTTTCCCCTCTGGGAAAAGGGTAGGTGGTGGGTGTTTGGTAGGTGTTCCCCTCTCTTTGCTTTTCTGTCCCTTTGAAGGAACCCGCAGCACTGTGCCTGCCGGGCAGATGTCCAGACTCTGTCAACATCTTTAATTTCAGAGTAAGGCTAAAAATAAAATTGTTTTCATATCATCAGACCTGGATACGTTGCATCATACGGTATCTTATTTCAAAAGTGATTGGAGACATGAGATAATGAATGATGGTTTGTGATTAAAATAAGCATCTTTAGTAGGGTCATTGTCACTCTCAGCATCTGGTCTGGGCTTTTTAGGAGTTTGGTCTGATCACTTCTAAAAATAATGTAAGTGCAGAAGTGATTTGCATTGATTTGTTGTGGAGAGAGCTTTTTAGTAATCATTTTAATATAGTTATGCTTTCTATTTTGTTATCTTTGCTTTTTTAAAAAAGAAAGCTTAAGGTGCAAATTGGAATTTGACATCCTAATCCATTTATGGATTTGTGTAGATTGAGTTGATTTTTCTACTAGCAGGATACCCAAAGGAAGAAAAAAAATTGTACAGCTACAGGAAAGCACTGGTTAGTCAAATTTGGAATTTAAAAGGTTAAAAAAAATTTCAAGTTTACTGCTTGGATTCGTAACATTTCTCTCTAACATGTTCAACTTGCTGCAGATTTTTAGTTGTCTCTTGGAACACTTTGTGTTATGTTTAATCCATTTTAAGTACCAAGGATTGACTAAGGATACATCAGGATAATGCATTATCTTTGTGATATCCAAATGTAAATTCAGGTAATCTCAAATACAGTGACTTACAGACTTTATAGAACATATACAAATTCTTAGTTTAGAGTGATTAAACTTTGGGAATATTTGCACAGCTTTCCTTGTATCAATATGTACTTGTTCTAGCAATGTAGATATTTGTTAATAAAGTGAAACCAAAAGGTTGAATGGGATGGCCAGAGCTACTCCTTTTTCTATTGTTCCATTTGTCAGTATTTTGGCCCAATCCAGCAGCACTTTAATTTAAATAACTAGTGATTAGTTAGTTACATGGGAACTGCCTTGTTCTTGAAAGAGCCAGATAGTGTGTCTGTGGGGTTGCAAACTGGACACTAGAAAGGAAACTATCAAGTTGCACTCTCTGCTACCAGGCTGTTATTTAGCTCATCCTCTCCTCCTGTCCCTTTCCTTTCACCCCATGTCTGTGAGTGGGGTGATCTTCCAAATGTCCCACTTCTTCCCCGCCGTGCAGAAGATGATGTTGAAGGATTTCAGACCTTGTCAGGTGCCCTCTGAGGAGAGAGAGGACCCTGGGGAGGTCGTATGCCTGGAGGTGTAGAAGGCGTGAGGGAGGCTGCTGTGGAAGAGGCCGAGTTACACGGCTCTGCTGGCTCTTTGTGTTAATCCTTCCCAGGAGCGACTGGAGTTGGACCCAGTCCCCGCTATTGTTTGAATAGCCTTGTGCTTCTAGGAAGTGATGGATGAGGCACAGTGGGCCAAAGCTGTGGCTCGGCGTCAGGCAGCCCTTCCCCCTCTCCTGCCAGGGAAGTTCTGCAAGCTTCCTAGATGCTTTTTGAAGGAGGGAGGAAAGACAGGAATTTCTCCTCCTGGAATTGTCCTCTCTGCAGATGGGACTGAAAAAGAGGACAGTCCACAGCCCTGTGTCCGAGAGAAAATCGGTAGGAATCTTAAAGCGTACGTAATGAAGTTAAAGAAGGATTTATTTTAGCAAAGCTGGTGGAAAAATGGGAGACAAACACAATAAAGTTATTGCACAAGAGCAGCTCTCAGCCTGTTGCCAACACTAACAAATCCTCAGCGTTGAGGTCTAGCAGGAAGTACGGGGAGAGTTTTACAGCATACTTCTCGGGGCTGCGGGCTGGTATCAGCTGAAGGTCACTGCTGGAGGGAGATATGACTGGTGGTAGCTGTGATACACAGAGACCTAAATTGAAACTGCTGAGAACATGAGTTTAATTATTTAAAATTTATTAGCAGTGGGATTAAGTGCAACAGTAGAACCTGCAGTGCAGCCGTGTAGCATAGGTGGTCTGCCTGAGGATTTTTTGCGAGAAACTTACTTTTTTTCACTTTTTTTCGATGGGCTGAGATACACAGGGGAGTTGTGGTGCTGAGGATCAGTGTGAGTAACTACCCTGTCTTGGCTGGTACCCAAATGATCATTGCAGTCGCTCTTTGGAACCAAGCTTTCCAGACTGGTATCTTAATTTTACAAAGAATTGTTTGCTTTGTAGTATAAATACAATTTAATTAAGTGCAGTTTCTGTAACTGGTGCTTGTGGATTTTGTTTCAATATTCTGCAGTTAACATGTCCTCAAAGGTACACGTTTTTCTTCTCTGTAAGAAGAAGTAATGAGGAAAAAAGATTGTTCTGTATCCCTGGAGCGCTGTTTTATCCTCGGGTCTGCCTGGATGCCGTAGCCAGTAAATAGAAGTTACAGGATTAATTCTGATGGGAGATTCAGTTCTTTACCTGGGTTTTATGGCCTGTTAATACAGTCAACGTGATGGTCAATACACGGAAACCCCGCTGTGAATGTAATACGTGTTAAATATGTATTTAACTTTGCATAGTTCCTATTTTTCAACCTTCCCCGAAGTGAATCCCGAAGCAGCGCTCCCGCACCTCCATCTGCTGGCCCAGCCCGGCCTCGCACACCCTGAGCCCTTCCCGGGAGGGCTGCGGGGAGGTTGGGCACCTCTGGAACCTCCAGCCTTCTCCTGTTTTATTTTTCTTTTTTTTTTTTTCCTTT